AAATAAACTATTATAATATCTTGTATTTAAATTTAATATTATATATTTATTACTATATATAATATTATGATTATCAAATAATTAATGTAGTTTTAAGATTTAATAACTTATTTTAATATTTATAACTAAGTTAGTTTATAAATATTCCCTTGCATGAAGCAATACTCGATTTGGCTTGATTTGATTCGATTGCTGTCGATACACGATTAATATTGAATTGTCGTGTTCATCCATACTCTTTCCTAAAAAGCACCGTATATATTAGGAATACGTAGGTACAATATAAGTTTAAAATATTTTGTTTATTTCAAACTATATTTATTCTTAAAGGATAAAATCTATACCTTTTGTAATTATGCCGCTTATCACCAAGAAGTACTGTGACGTGACATTTTGTCCGTCACTGTGCGGACTTGTCGACGGCGGACTCGCGCTTCCTACCGGCTCGAAGGGCGAACGCGTAGGCGAGGGCGCACGCGAGCGCGCGTGCAAGCACACTTGCGAACGTGCTTTAAAACTCGCGTCATTTATTTTACTCGGCAGATTTTCTTCTTTTGTATTAGCATTTCTTTTGCGTAATGATCAAGCGTATCAGGAAGCGTAGACGCGCCACGGATCACGCTCGGCAGCTGCTGTGAAATTTCATTGTATCATCGTGTCTCACCCGTCACCCTTGGAGGGAAGACAGAAGACCGACAGGATTGGAAGGAGGGCCGAAGAAGCTAAGAGAGAAGGACATCCGGGAGCCCGAACAAGCAGGTTGTATTATTTTATATCATTGCTCGTAACCGCGGTCGCATAAGAAAGGAATCATACTTTCACCATGCATCTCTTGCAGAGCACCGGAGGAGGCCAGAATTCCCGGCCACCCTTGAGGGGCCGGACGGACGTCCGTCGGGAGCCTAGGGCCCCGACGGGGAGCGAGAAGGAAATCCATCCCGATCTCCTCCGCCAGGCCAGGAAGTGCAGGGGCCGTGAGCAGGGACGCCACCCTTGACAGGGACATTCATTGCGCGCTCGTACGAGCCAGGATTCAAAGCCGTGCGGGACTGCACGGCACGCGCGGATACCGTGACACGCGGAAGCCAATCAGTGTGACTACCTCTTCCCCCGCAGGGAGGGGGGCACTAAGCAGCCTGCGAGAATCCGCCGGGAGCTCCCGGGCCTCACTCTTTCTGTGGACGAGCGAGCCGTACCTTGTAAAGGAAGCGCGAGATTGCTGCCGCCAAGTCCGGGTGCGAAGCCTGAGATTGCCGAGGGATACGTGATAGGAGATTGAGAGGACGGAGAGGACAGCTAGAGTGAGACGAGTGTCATCGTTTGTGAAGCTGCCGACCGGGGTACGTCGCCGGGTGGATCGCACGTAAGCCAGCTCGCATCGTAACGAGAGATCGGCGTAATGGCCGCCGTGTAGAGCCGCGGAACCGCGAGCCACGTGCCATCCTCCCGAGCCTTGGAAATCCTTAGCTGTCGCGTTTCGACAGTCAGAGTAAGGGGAGTAATATTCGCTGCCGAGTGGGAGTAAATTAAAGTCGTTTGGAGAGAATCGAGGGCAGAGCCGCGCTCGTTCCTCTCGCCACAGGGGAGTCACTTCCGGTTTCCGAGGAGAGTAGAGTCGTGTAGAAACGCGTAGAGTAGTCACGTTGTCGAGTCTCGTCGTGTCGCGTAAGGACGCTTATAGTAGTTGCGTTACCGTTTAGTATCGCGTCGTGGACACGCTTGCTATAATTGTGTCGCCGAGCATCGTGCTATTGCCTCGGAACGCGGATTGTCGCGTTGCCGAGTTAGCTTCCGGTTGCGGTGTTACCGAGTAGAGACCGGTTCCGGGATTCACGTTGTCGAGTAGAGTCGTGTCGCATAGAGGCGTTCGCTATAATCGCGTCGCACCATCGCCGTGGCATCGGCCGCGGGCCGGCGTTACACGTCCAGAAGTCTGGTGGTACAGCGGGTACGGGTTCTTGCCGGTTGTCGAGGGGCGGGAGTTTGACACCGTCGGAAGATACCGCGCGGAAGGTCGGGGTTCGTGCTGTAGCGTATGACCGGCGTCCGGCGCTAGAAGTAAGTTAGCGGCTCTCTATGCGAGTACCGAGAGTATCGAGTAGAGCGGAGGAGCTCCGGAAAGTACTTGTAATCACGCCACCAATGTAATTAATTCTACTTTATCATATTTCCTCAAATATAATTGTTCTTATTATTACGCTCTCGCG